AGAAGAGCCCTGCCCTGGGTGTGCCCTGTTCCTGGGATGTAGCTGAAGACCCGACTCGAAACTTCACAGAAACACGCTGAGCCCATATGTACTGCCATGCAGACCGCGGGGCAGGTCTGGTCAGGACCCGCAGGAGAACTGGCAGGAGCCCTATGGGCGGCCTGCATCCCTGGGACCCAGCCTCCTTCTCCACTGCACACTCTTCCTCCTAGGACCCCTCCACTCCATCCCAACGGAGCTAAAGTGCCCCCCCCTTCCATCCTTCAGCCTGCTAGGAAGGGGCCTGTGGGAGCTGGCTGTGTCCACCAAGCTTCTCCGGCAGAACTGCTAGTTCTCGTTTGTTTAGAATTGTCACTGCCGGGTCCTCACAGGACACGGAGGCCTTTGAACTTGGGGCTGGTTGTGGTGGAGCCCTCGGGCACTGTTTAGGGTTCCGATGCTTTCCGATGATGAGGCTGAATTGTCTGTGCAGGGAAGCTGGGAAGCTGAGGGACAGTGTGGCTGTGAGGATGCACCTCCTGGTGTGTGCATGTTTTGCTTTAGTTTGCTGAAGGGCACTTGAGCTCCCCAGGGAGACATAGAGAAAAAATAAGAAAGAGAGACAGCAACCCCTGGGGGAAATGTCCACGCCGCAATCCGTTCTCCTCCATTTTCCTCTTGGTACGCACACATATGCGCCTGGTGTGTTATCAAACCTCTGGGTCTGGGACTCAAATCACACGGTCAGTCATGTGGGATCCATCCACCTTAACCACCACGCCACGGGCCGGTCCCGTGCTTGCTGTTTACACACTGTTTTGCCACCGGCTTTTGGCGTTCCCAGAACAGCTCAGGAGCCAACCAAGCATTTTACTCCATGCTCACATGTGTTTGTTCATTCATGCATTCAGCCAGGCACCAAGGTTTACTACATGCCTACCGTATGCAGAAATAGGTGAGGGTTCAACCCCTCCTCCTACCTTCTCTTGCCCCGTGCCCTGCAGTGAGGTCTCCCCTCTGCTGCACTGAACTCCTCACTCTCCAGAATGCCAACGCCCTCGGTGCCAGTGCCTTCATCAGGGGTGACTTGCTGCCATTGCCATCTCCTGGCTCTGAAATGAAGCAGCGTGTCAGACAAAACCCAAGTCTTGGAGTCAGGGAGGCATGGATTTGAACCTTGACCCTGCCCCTCACTAGCCATCAAGTTATTTCATCTTCCCGAGCCTCAGTTTCCTCACCTGCCAAATGGGGATAATATCAGGCTCCATGACAAAGTACGATCGGACATGTCTCCCTCTGCTGTGGTTGGTGCCTGGCCTGGAGTTGGCACTTGTTCATAAGTGTCTGGACCTGAGTGGATGAACGCTGGCTGGGGAGGGACCCTTGAGTCCTGCTCAGAGGTGTGTGTACTTAGCTGAGTCTCTGCCTTCCCCTTGATTAAAATCGCAGGGACTGGGCATCCAGAACACCAAGCTTTGTACCCCTGGCTTCACATCCTGTGATTCTGAACTGAATTTGGGGACACCTGGCACACAGCCGACCTCATCTCCATCCATCCCCAGGGAAGACATCACTAGGCGATCAGAGCATCCTAACGGCTGAGCCTTGCAGGGCCTCGGAATCTTTCCACGGGGCACCTGCCAGCCATCGCCAATCAAATCCGAGTTGGCAGTTGAGATTAAACGGACTTTCCATTCCCGACTGGCCCCCTGGGTGGGGCGAGAGACTCACCGGAAAGGCGCCGGAGGATACAGCCAAGGTGAAGTGGGTATGCTGGGGTGGAGAGAGTGGCACGGAGCAGAGGTACAGGTGTGGGGCAGGGGCCCGCTGGGGACACCCAAGAGGGGCACAGTGACACTATGACCACATCTTTCCTGTCACACCAGCCCCTCCTTACAGGGAAGACATGCCCAGCATGGCTTCCTCTGCACAGCCTTTAGAGCCAGCCCGGAGGAGAAGTGAAGGGGAAGGAAGGGCCCTGACTATGAAGCAGGCAGTAGTCTCTTCACCCTCACTACGACCCTGCCAGGGAACTATTGTACTCTTCGCCCACTTTAAGGGAGAGGAATCTGAGGCCCGGAGTTTACTGGCCATGATGATTAATCATAAAACAACAGTAAGGAACTCAGGCTAGATTCTGGCTTTGCCCTTCTGGCCGTGGGGTCTTGGGCAGGTTGTTTAATCAGCCTGTGCCTCAGTATCCTCATCTGAAGAGCAGGGATAATGTGCATCTCATCATGAACTACGAGGTAATACAGATGACGTTTCTGGAACATCATCTAGTGTGTAACAAGAGGTTGATAAACTACTTACTAGGCCATTAGCATAGGGGTCTTGTTTGTTTCAATGTCCAGCTCCTCAGGGAATGTCCTGCACATAGCAGGGCTCACTAAGTGCTTTGGAATTGAACCTTTGAGCCCAGAAGGGTCCCAGGTTGCTCTTACTACCATTTTACAGAGGGAGACACTGAAGTCAGTGAGATTAGGTGACCTGTGCAGTCCTAGAGCTAGAAAGCGATGGCCAGTTTCTGTCTCCTGGGTCTGCCTGAGCCCGGAGCTCTTCCCGCTTTGGCTTCTCTGTGCAGCTTCACTGTCTATATTTTCTTTAAAATGCTCCGTTCTGGGACCCAGCAGGTAGGTGTGCTGTGGTTAAGGTGCTGGACTCCCACATGGTCAATCACAGGTCAAGCCCCAGACCCAGCAGCTTGAAAATCATGTTGGGCTTGTGTACATGCATGCCCAAAATCCCAAGAAGAGAACAGAGGAGAAGGGACTGTGGTGTGGCCATCCACCCAGGGAGTAATTTCTCACTTTCCTTTTCTGTCTCTATCTCTCTCTGGTGACCACAAACACCCTATGGTAAAATAAATAAATAAACAAAACAAAACAAAACAAAAACAAAAACAAAAACAAAAACAAAAACAAACAAACAAAAAACCACCAAACTTTTTATGCATGCTCTATTCTTCAATAAGGACATAGAGCGTAAGCATAAACAGATAGAACTGAAAGGAGAAATAGACAAATCCTCCATTATAGTCAGGGGCTTCAGCACCTCTCTCTCAGCAACTGACAGAGTGACAAGAGAAAATCAGGAAGGCAGAATTGGGTAACACCATGAACCAACAAGACCTAGTATCAACCAGCAAGATCTAGTTGACATTTATAGAACATGCAACCAACAACAGCATAATTTACATTCTTTTCACTTGTCCATGGGACATTTGCCAAAATAGACCATATTCCGGGTGATGAGACAAACCTTCACTAATCTGAAAGCAATTAAAGTCTCCGACCATGATGACATCAAACTAGAAATCAATGACAGAAAGAGCCTGGAAACCTCTAAACACTTGGAAATGGAAATAACAGGCTTTGAAATAATTTGTGAGTCCAAGAGGATATCTCAAGAGAAATAAGAAATGTACTGAGCCAGATAAAAACACAAGCGCAATATACCGAAATATGTGAGCTCCAGCTAAAGCAGTGCTGAGAAGAAAGGCTATAACACTGAAAAGTAACAAAAGCCTTCGTAACTGACACCCCCACCTCAAGAACCAAGAAGAAGAAAAGTAAAACTAAACCCAAGTCAAGAAGATAAAAGTAAATAATAAGGTTAAAAACAGAAATCAATGAAACATTAAAAAGAAAAACAATAGAAAAAAGTGAACAACCACCACAACCAAAATAACTGATTTTTTGAAAATATCAGTAATTAATTAATAAGCCTCTAGGAAAACTAATGAAAAAGAAAGAAGATACACAATAGATTACAAATTAGAAATGAAATAGGACATCACTACAGATCTGACAGACATTAGAAAGATAATAGTTTGAACAACTCTACAAACATAACTTCAACTTAGATAGACAGATCAGCTCTTCAAAGACCAACTGCCAAAACTCATACAACATGAAAGGATAATCTGGAGTCTGGATAGTGGCATATGGGAAGGTTCTGGGTTCATGTCTAGAGACCTCCCTGGACATGCAAGGTATGCACACGCCCATGATCCAGGGGTGGTTGAAGCTGGGGGTGGATGGTGTTGTCAAGACCCTGTTGGGGATACTGTCTCCTTAATTCTCTTACACATGGAAGAAATAAATAGGCATAAAAATTTAAAATAGGTTAAACAAGAAAAACCACCTGATTGAATTAATTGATGCGGAAAAATCATTTGATGAAATTCAACACTGAGTCATGACAGAAACTCCCAACAAATTAGGAGTAAAGGGTGAAGATCCTCATCTCCATAAACAGCAACTACAAAAACACCACAGCTAATGTCATACTGCATAGCAAAAAATAAAAATGCTTTCCCACTAAGATCAGGAATGAGGCAAGGACGTCTGCTCTCATGCTTATTCGATAACAAACATTTTCCCTTGGGGCCAGCAGGTGGCACAGTGGTTAAGGTGCTGGACTCCCATATGGCCGACTGCAGTTTCAGTACTGGACCCGATGGCTTGAAAATCACACCAGGCACGTGTGTGTGTGTGTCCAAAATCCCAGGAAGAGAATGGAGCAGAAGGCATTGTGGTGTGGCCATTCCCCTGGGAGGAAGGGGCGATTTCTCACTTTTTCTCTCTCTGTCTCTCTATAGTAAACACACACACGCTATGGCAAAAACCTAAAAAAAAAAAAAAAAAAATTCCCTCTCCAGACCCCCCCATGTGATGAATGGAGATCTGCTGAGCTAGCCTCTCTTCCTGAAGGCTGGAGTCCTCAGACTCATCAGCCCAAAGTCCTCTCATTTAGAGTCCCTTTCAAGCAAGCACAGGGGTACACATTGGTTTACCTGATCCTATTACGTTGAATCTGCCCTAATTTACATTAGGAAAAAGGCAAAGCATGTGGCAAATTTGGGATCCCTCTAAGTAACACTGTGTTAGTGTTACTAACACAGCCCCACATAAATATCCATGTGTGCAGCATGGAAGCTGAGAATTGTTGATGCAATCCACCCAGGAAACTGAGGCCCAAAGAGGCTAAGTGCTGGCTGAAGATCACACAGCCAGGAAGAGGCGGAGTTCAAAGATCTCATCTCTGAAGCCAGTTTCCCTTCGTTACGATAGTGTCCAGCATGGGCCTCGATCACACGGATGGTTGTCTCAGTCACTGCAGTTGGGCTGCAGGCACAGGCTGAGCCAAACTGTGACTTTTGGGGCATCAGGAGGTCTCCAGCTGGTCTGAGGGCACAGACCCACTGGTGCTCGGGCTCGGCCAGGAGGCGAGGTCGCCAGGGCAGGGAGCCCCGGGTTTCATTTCCACCCGATGCCTCCCACATCTGCTGATTGGGGTTGACAGCACGCCTGCCTCGGGCTAGTCTTCAATGAACTGCCGCCATTATGTAAGGGCTTACATAAATCACCATGTGCTGTCTGCCTCCCTCTCCATCCAGGCGCTGGCCAGGCCATGGTGTCCCCAGCACAGCCTTTGCGTTCCCTGGTCAGCGCGGTCCAGCCTGGCTCTCCAAGGCGGGTCAGCTGGGCTTGTCTGTGGCGCTGGGCTAGCAAAGCCCCTGAGGAAGTCAGGGCCCATGGGAGGGTTGGGATGGGGTTCGTGGCGGTCAGTGGGGAGCAACGTCCTGTGACGGCCAGGAAGCCCTGGGTCTGACCGCCAGCATCTCCATCCCGGCTCTGCCACTTACCAACCTTGGGCAAGTTTCCTCACTGACCTGTGCCTCGGCGTCTGGAGATCTTAGAGACGCACTGCGGTTCCGGAAAGAACGAACAACAGTGCATGTCCCCTACTCCAGTCAAGGGCTGTGCACTGAACAGAATTTCATGTGGCCGAGTGTCATCGGGGCTCCTGCTCAGTCCTGGCTCTGCCACCGTGGGGAGTCACTGGGCCTGTCTCTAACATGAGAAGATGGGCCATCTCTCAGAGCTGAAGTTTCTGTAGAGGTATGAACGTGTAAAACTGCCTTTGGCAATTAAAAATAGCACGTTCTGAAGACAGTCCCCGACACTGGACGGCGTGAACAGACTTGAGGCGGGGTGAGCGCAGCCGGGCTGTCAGGGTTGGAGACGGAGAGGTCGGCCACGCCAGCTTACCCAAGCCAGGGTCCGCTGAAGACAGGCCCATGTGCCTCCAGCACGGTTTCACGAACCCGTTGGTGAGGGCGATGGGATTGTGAAAGGCGCATCCAGCTTCCAAGTGCCATAGTCCCAGAGGAGCACGAGCAATTGTCACCAAGCACAATCTGCAACCACAAGCGTCCTGCTCCAAGGCTTCCCTGGCCACTGGGGACACAGAAGAAGCAGCCGACAAGCGCCCTTCTCACCCAGATGGGGTTTGGTGTAGGGGACGACAAACAGAAGGATAGGAACGCGCTGTTTCCAGTCTCCAGGATAAATGCTATCCCGCAGACGAGGCGAAATGTTTAATTTAGTAAGAAACTGCCCTGTGCCAGGCCCTGGAAGGGGATCCGATTACGAAGGGCCTTCTGTTAATAGCTAAGGTTAGACTTCATCTTCGAATCTATGAGGATGGGAGGAGGGCATCATTACTAATGCTGGGAGTGGGCCAGCTGGGGGCATGGTGGTTAAGGTGACTCACAAGACACTGATTCACAGAGCCCACTGGCCTGTTAGGGAGGTTCCATTTCATTGGCTAAAAAACAAGAAGCCGACAGCAGACAACTGCAGGGCAATAAAATCTCAGAGAAAACAGACCAAGCAGATGCTCTTAGCAGAGGTGCTCTGGAGAGAGGATTGGCATTCCACAGATACAGGCCAGCAAGGCAAGGGCTCCGGCAGGGCACCGTGGAGCAGATGGCCAAGGGGGCAGGGGCCGGCTATGTGGGATTTGAACTCCAGGCAGTGCACCCGGCTCATGCTGTAGGCAGCGGGGAGCTGTTAGTGGCTGTGGGACATAGAGACACTCTCTAGCAATGTGAGCTGGTGGTGAGGAGCAGAAGAGATGTTTCCTGCCTGTACCAGTCAGCGTGGGCTGGGATGTGCTGCAGAAACAAGTAAGCCTCAATCCTCTGGGACCCCAGAACATGATGGTTCAGCTCTCACCTACGCACAGGCCACTGCAGATGGAAGCAAGTCTTGAGGGCATGTGATGGCCAACAGCTCAAGACGCTCCCAGTCCAAGGCCCCTCCAGCTCAGTCTCTGCTTGCCCGACCTCTGCAGCTGGAAGAGAGTCCCCGACGCTGGACGGCAACCTTTCGTCCGGAAGGGATGGAGAATATTGCACTGGCTCTTCAATGCCTGAGTTGAATCACAGCTTGTCAGCTTGGGCTATCTCCTCTAAATCTTTCATTTTGCCTATTAGGGACATTAGGTTGTGCGGAGGCCAGGCCACTGTGGACAGGTGTCAATAGTAGCTCGCTATCAGCCATGGGGAGAGATGAGCCAGGACACCTGGGGGAGGCCCCGCATTGTGCTGCTGGAGCCCTCTGTCTGGGGTGGAGCGGGCTGAGGAGCGCTCCAGTTGGATGCAGAGGTGTGGGTTGGTGAACAGGCCGCCCACCACTTGGCTGACCAGGGGGCAGGAGGAGAAGGTGGGAGAAGAAAGGGGGAAAGGAAAGGAAGGGGAAGGAGAGGAGGGGAGGATGGAAGGCAGAGCCTGAGGGGAAAGTGAGGAGGCCCATAGGGACACCACCCGGCTGGCACGGAGACCTCGCCCTTCTGCATTTCCCAGGCAGCCTCCCTTGCCGCCGGCCTCACCTTCCCTCTGGCCCGTTGGTGGGCAGGGCCAGCGCCGATGCGGGCTCCCTTGCTCGCTCAGAGCGGCCCTGCTTGCAGCCCTGCCGGCGTTGGCACGGTGACAGTAGCCAAGTGTGCAAACTTGTGCCATTGTCCCCAGGCCAGGGGGAGCCATGGAGACTGGCTAATATGACACAGGAAAATGTTTGCTGATGGCAATTCTATGGGCTTTGTCCACCTCTTTCTCCATCATGACGACTCGATTTAAGTCCCTAACTGTTTGACTACAAATGCAAGGGGACCGTGCAACGCCAACCTTTTGTCCGGCTGCGCTGAATGGGCAATTCAGGCTTTGTGCAGCTCAATTGAGGAAGCAAACATAAAGACAAGATTCCTGAGAGCTCCGGCTCCCTTCCCATGGATATCCCAGCACCTCGTTAGAGTCCTGCCTCGGCCACCTTTCCCCATAGCAATGCACCTTCCAACCCACCTCTCTCGTAGGCCCTCCAGCGCCCGGTCCCTGGGGGATCCCGGGAGGTGGGGTGGAAAGAAGGAGCCTGAAAGACAGAAGAGAGAAGCCACTCAACACTCAAGGACAGTGGGGAAAGCAGCCCGCCCCGGCTTACCCGTCCGATTGTCTGTCTGCACTGGAGCATGGCAGCTGTAGGCCTGACTCTTTGGGGGAAAAAAAAAAAGCCTGTCTCCACTGGGCCCAGCGCCTCCTCAGTCCAGGACATTTTACACACACACACGCACCACCCCCTCGAGAAACCAGGGAACCGAGGTCAAGGGGAGGAGGGGCGTGGAGGCCCAGGAGAGTAGGGCTGAAGGGTAGAAATTTACCGGGAAATGATTGCATTTGGGAGCTGTCTTTTTTGTGATGGTCCCCATGGTGACAATTTGTGCCGGCAAAGAATGTGGGAACGGGGCGCCGCCGCCTGATTGGGATGCTTTGTATCTGGAGAGGCGCTCCTGATTGGCCTGAGGGCCCCCCAGCTCCGGGGAGTTGTCCTCCATTCAGCCCACTCAAGGGCTGCACAACTGCTTCCAGGACGGAGCTCGCGGGCCGTGCCGGGCCTGTCCCAGGTCTGCGGTGGGGAACCTGCCCGGCCACGTTGGCGGGGCCCGGGGCCCACACCTTCGGTCAGTGTGGAGGCCCGGCTGCACCGGCCTGATGGGGTATGGGGTGTGGGGTGGGCTGGGGCCTGGGGGAGGGGCGAGGTGCTGAGGGTGGTGGCCTAGGAGGCATGAAATTGCTGCAGATGCTTCTACGGGGAGTCCCTGCTGCCTGCAGCCTGATATCAGCCTGCAAGGCAGGTCCCGATTAAGTGCCAGACAGGGGTCCTGCCTGGTCCTCCGTGAGAGCTGGGGGTGGAGCGTGGGGACTGAGGAGGGGGGTGGAGGCTTTCCAGGGCTGGGCGGGGGCCGTGGGAGGGGGAGGCCACCACCAGGGAGAGAAGGGGCTTGGCCTGGCTTGAAAGAGGAACAGTTGCCTCCGCTCGGAAAATCAAAACCTTGCTGCCAAGTCGTGCACGTTGGCAGTGTGGAGTGTGGGAGGCCCAGTGGGCCGGGAGCATGGAGACCGGGCTCCAGCCCCAGCAATGCCACTTGTAGCTGGGTGTCCTCGGGCAAGTTGCTTGACCTCTCTGAGCCTCAGCTGCAAGCAGAGGGCAACAGGCCCAAGCAGGCCAGATGAGGCTCTGCTAGTGCCCATCCCACAAGTTTTTGGGCCGTTCAGACTCAGACAGGTGTCCCATGACCCAGGGCTCAGCTCAGAGCTGAGGAGGGCTGGGGCTGGGGACAGTTTGCAGCCACTGCGTGTGGCCCTTGCCCGGTGCTGGGCATGGCTGCTGGGAGAGACGCCAATGGCCCGTTTGTCCCCCAGGCCCTCTCTGTGCCCTTCCCTGGAGCTGCCGGCCACCAGCACAGCCCGCCCTCTTCATGGAAAGTCCCGTGCGGTGGCCCCCTGGTGATGGCATCCGACAGTGACGTGAAGATGCTGCTGAACTTCGTAAACCTGGCCTCCAGCGACATCAAGGCCGCCCTGGACAAGTCGGCGCCCTGCCGCCGCTCCGTGGACCACCGCAAGTACCTGCAGAAGCAGCTCAAGCGCTTCTCCCAGAAGTACTCCCGGCTCCCACGGGGCCTCCCCAGCCGAGTGGCTGAGCCCCACCTGAAAAGGGGGCCTCAGGACAGGCA